ACAGTGGTGGCACCAGTGGGGACCTCTGGCGGAAAGCAAGCCTTGGTGGCGGGCGAAAGTTGAACGGCACCGCGAACTGCACGCCGGGGGGCCCACGTGGTAAGTCAAGCGTTGGCAACGCCGCCTTGGGTGTGTTATTATGTGTTTGTCATGTTTTGGAGTGTATGGAAATTGTGTGTAATGATGTCTTAGTGGGTTGATCACGATTGATGTATCATATGGCGGATGATATCGTCGTTGTAAATTAGTTAAATAAGTGTACGTTGTTGGTTTGTACCGACCGCGTCTGCTGTGACCGTTCATTCCAAGAGCATGCCGAGGCGCTCGCCTCGTCGAGACCCCACATCCTGTACGGGTCCGACATCTGCTAATCCGGTGTACTTGGAGATGTCAAGATCATCCGATGGTTCTGGCATGGTGCTGGTCGCTGTGTGCTGCTAGATGATTCGGTAGTCGATGTATGGTCAGGGCGTCTTGTGGGGAACTGCGTCGATGATGAATGACTGATGAAGGGGCTGGCAGGTCTTCATCCTGTCGACTTGTGTGACGTGGCCTGGCTCATACGCCATACTTATTCTTTTCTGGCTTCTTCCTTCTCAGCTTTTACCAACCATCGCTACCTGCTTACATTACAAATACACACTTTCCTTACTATAATGTTGGCATTTTTTGATCTCACTGGAACAGTTGCTGTCTTGAGGCACTGAGTATAAACTGTAGCAAGTTTCTTCAGAGTGAATTCTGAGTATTTAATTCGATCAACTGCTATCCGTCATCACCAGAAGCTTTCCCGCGTGGAATATCCTATATGGCCTTTCTAACCTTGTCAGTATTTAAATATGGCACTTCCGTATCTTTCTCGTCACTACATTTACTCAAATATGGATGACTCAAGTTATTTTCAAACTATATAGTTCAGCGTAGCATTCTTCTTCCACTCAAACTATGCCACTAAAGTTGCCGATATTGCCTGCTTGTAATTGACAGTGTGTATTCGTTTTCTTCCAATGAAAATTCTCCTATTCACAACTTCGATACTGCTGCCCTTTTTTAGTGCTGGCTGTTTCTATGACTTTGATGTTGTAGTTTCTTACGTGATAGACTCTCTCTGGTTGATAAGCATTGTCAGGCCAGCGCACTCTATTTTAGATATGGAGTTAGCCTCCCTCATGTGCTGCCGTTTCTTTATTAAATAGTCTTTAGTGAACAGGGAAAGCTTGCCAAGTTCTTGTCTCAGTGCTTTAGTTCTAACTTCAACTGCTGCTTCAGAGATCAGTGTAGACACTGTTTCATTCATTCCTTCAATGTCAGCATTATCCTCTTCTTTTAAAGCTGCACATTTATTTTCTGTGTTAATCTTTTAACCTTTTCAGGGTTTTCTCTGTACATGGCCCAAAGAGCTTTGGCCGCACATGTGCGGCGCTGCCTTTTATGTTCAAAATGCATACCACTTTTGATGATTTCTCTTACTTGACATGTGCTGTCACACTTCGGGAATACGTAGAATTTTTTTTTGCCGATATCTCTCAGTTCTTTTTTTTTTCCTTTCCAAAGTGGTGCGGTGGTTTTCACTTGCTCATCTTTCATGCAGTACGGCTTGTTTCCATTTTGTTCTTTGGGTGGTTATCACTATTTCCACCCGCAAGGCTGATCGCTGTCTGGTTTCTAATCTTTCAAGGGAGTGACCACTAGTGACTCTCTCCTTTAATGCTTTCTGGCGTGCGATTACATGTTTGAATGTAAACATGTGACAAATGTCTGTCTGATTGGGTATGTAAACTGAGAAACTATTTGAACTCCAACTAAAAAGTATGTGAAGATGCGTAAACCTGATGTTTCGGAACCGCCTTGGTTCCTTCTTCGGAAGGGATTGGGGCTACGTTGTAGCTGCGTCATCAAAGCACTCGCGAGGCGGTTAATGACTCCCCTCTCTCCCTCTCTTGTTTTGCCGCGGAGCGTGGTTCTGTGCATACACAGGGGGAAGGATTCCGAAAGAATGGTTGATGTGTTGGGCCGTTTGATGCATGAGCCATGACTCGAGTAGTAACCTTCTCCTCGAGTTAGTCTCGCTTTCAAGGATGGTCGCTGCGTCGAAATTTATCCGGTGGTCAAACGTCTCAGCATACTCAGCGACTGCGCTGCGCTCTTTGTAGAGCTTCCGGAAGTCGTTGGCGTGTGGTTTGAATTGTTCCGGTAGGTTTTTTTGTCTTGCCGATATACAAAGAAGGGCACTCGGCACACGGGATTTTGTAAACAACCCCGGGGGTCCTGTCCATTCTTGGCCGGTCTTTCGGGCGGGGGAGAAGGCAGCCCAGCGTACACGAAGGCACGTGCGCGATGCGAAACCTTTGTTTTTTGAAGATCCGCGCCAACATCTCGCTGGTTTCCAGGACGTATGGTGCTGGTACGGGTTTCAGAGGGCTGCCAATTAATGCTGATTGGGGTTTTTGTACCCTATGTTGCTCTGTGCGGCAGGTGGCGGCTCAAATGAAGTTTTTTGCGTATGCATTTTTTTTCTGAGGTCTGCAATTAGGCGAGCCTCCTCTTTCTTTCCCTCCATGTCATTGGAGCATAGGTTTTAGATCTCTGGAGCAGCTTGGTCACAACCGAGGCATTGTGACAGGCGGGATGGGATGAATCATATTGAAGGTAGCGGCCGACGTGCGTTGGCTTCCTGTGAAGGTCAAGAAAGGGCAGGCAACGGTCGCTTTCACACTTGGCCGCGAATTGTATGGCTGGGTGCACAGAATTTAGATGCTGTCTGAAGTTTTGAATTTCAGACGTGCTTCATGATGCAAAAGCAATCGTCCTGATAACGAAGAAAAACCTTGAGTCGTGGCTAGAAGGAGCTGAGGGCTTTCTCTTTTATAAGCTCCATGATCAGGTTTGCCATCGTGACAAAGATGGAAGCTCCCATCGCAGTTCCACTTTTCTGCCTGAAAACAGTTCCTCTATGAAAACAGTTCCTTTGTAGGAGACGTATGTACTAGACAGGCAGAGCTTGTCAACCGCCGAACGAGTCCTTTCACTCAGGCTTGCGTCACCCTCTAACGCAGCACGCGCAGAGGACAGAGCTAAGGGCACTGGCACATTGGTGAACAAGAAAACGACGTTGAACGAGACCAGTTCTCGTCATTGTCAATGCTCACCTCTGACACTAGCTCCACGAAGTGGCTGAAGTCACGTACATGAGTAGGTGTCTTCCGGGTTAGGGGGGCGAAGATTTTGTGTGGGAAATTCGAAAGGGCTCGGCATGGAGAGGAAGTGAAGTCTACAATCGGTCGGAGGGCGACGTCAGGTTTGTGAATTTATGGTTGTCCTTAGAAATCCGGTGCGGATCTCTTACGGCAGATCCGTTACCTGCGACTAATCTGCCATAACGGATTTGCCGTACATTTTTTTTCTTGAAGTGAATGGTGTAAAGATTTTATTTCACAACAAACAAATGCATTTTTGGCATGCATTTTGTGAAATAATTCGACCCTGAGTGGGTTCAATCTTCCGGTTTCATTGTAACTACCTTTAGGTTTGGTTGTCTTTTCATGGATAATCTTGCTCAGATTTTCAAAAATTAGGCTCACTGTTACTAACCTATGCCTACTGCACTTCACCTGGTCAATTACATCCATGTCTTATGCTTGCGCTTCCACATAGAATAAAATTTCTCTTGTACATTATGGCTTTTTCGTGTCCAATTCTTACTGCTAACTTTAAGAAAAAGGTGCTCATTATGCGAACCCTATTCTGCTCTGCAAATTCCACTAACACCTCCTCAGTGCTATTCCTAGAACCAATACAATAATCATCAATTGCCTCTTCCCCATTTTGTTGTGTTCCTACTTTTGCATTGAACCCTCTTATGATAACGGTGTACTGGATGTGCCCCTGTCTCACTGCTACTTCAATATCCTTGTACAGTCAGACATCGATATAACAAACCCAGATATAAAAAAACATTGGTTAGCACGTGGCCTTTCAATCTGAAGCGCGCGGCACTAACCATTAGACCACAAAATGTATGTTGTGAAGCCTGCTAATAGCAAGCCATTTATATACACCATATACCATTTTAATCTTCAAAGCTCCGTAACATCAGAGCATTTTTGTCATCAGTAGCCAGATGGCGATAAAGGTCTCGCGTTGGGCATGCTCTCAAGGTCATCGTCTCCAGCCTATAGGGCTTTGATCAGCGCTGCCTCTAAAGAACGTAGTCGCTCAAGCACGTGCACTTATCAAAGTCACGCTTATCAAACTCGTGATTCAGGAGAGCATGAAGGTCACTTTGCTCGCTGTTGGACCGCGTTTACAGAAGGAGCACGCTGCTTACCCACGAAGAAGTAAGAATTGTGAGAGCTGTTTGTGCTTGTCATTGTGCATTCATTTTGTGCATTTTCTTTGTTTCCACAGCGTGCTTGAAGTGTCAATCTGTGGCAGCTGCTAGTCCTCGCACGTCTTGTGTATGCTCATTTTGTGCGTGCTTTGCTCGATGTGCACGCTGCAAGTTTCGAGCTGGTTTTGCTTCTTCACCTTACTTTTCAATTTACTGATATAGCATACATTTCCTCGCCCTTGTGGCAAAACAATGCACAATAAATGCTCAACTACATCTGTGGAGACATCTTTCACTTTGTGTTATACCCATTCCTAACAAGAAAGATCAGCAACGATTTCTATCTATTAACATAAGCATAAAAATTCTTGATTATGAGGCTTTTTGAAGGAGTGTGGCACATGAAAGCAGAACATTAATGAAAATGCCCAATATATACAGCTTCCACTCCCCTGCATTCATGAGAAAAAAAAAGTAAAGCATTTAATTTTGAACCATGTCCATCCATAAGGCTGCCACACTTTCCTGCATTCATGAGAAAAAAAAAGTAAAGCATTTAATTTTGAACCATGTCCATCCATAAGGCTGCCACACTCCGTGACAACAGGCATGTTACTGCCCCGAACACAAATACTGTCTTGCACCTAAAGAAGGGAGGTGAGCCACCCACCTCCTTGGTATGCGCAGCAGGTCCTGGTGCCTCTCATGTAGCCTGCGCAGGCTGGCTCGCTCTTGCTCAGACAGTACACCACGCACCACGCTGCCCACACTGACCACTGTCACATTCTGCTTCTCTGCACACATCACCAAGAACAACTCTGTGCCGACAGAAGACATGGGCAGCAAAAAAGGACCCTCCCGTATTGACAGCACAAGACACATACGGGGGACTGGAACAATCGTGACACAGATCTAATCGTGACACAAATCTAAGAAAACAGTGCGGATGAAAAGACTACCTGCCGCCGGCCCACACCAAACCTGCAACTTTCTGCAGCTTGTCATTAGGATTTCTTCAAAGAAAGAAGCCCTATAAAATTAGAAGGCCCGTCTGCACATGCTTTACATATACTAGCCAATTTTTCCTAGTGCCCTCCACTCCCCACCCCAAAAAAAAAGGATTATTGTTTTGTGGAAGAACAGACACCATCCGACTTAATTACGTACTTCTGACAACGATTGCAACAAGTACAAAAACAACACGAAAATGACATTAATAATATAAACACATTTGCAAAAATTAATAGCACACCTGAGAATCTAGCAAAATTTGGCTCAGAGCCTCAACTCTGGCAAAAAGATGAAACCAGCAAGTTTACTCACACCATAGCCAGCAATAGACACCTGCACACACACGCAGAAATTTTACACACAACTGTGTTTTTCTTCGTCAACATGCAAGAAGGGGCAAAAGAATCCTTTTCATCATGCAGTTCACATAGAGGTGTGTGAATAGTAGAAAATTTGAAACGTCAGTCAAGCATTGCATTGCTATCGATTAGAATATTGTCTGAGACATTTCGAGCCTTTGAAATGACTTGAGCAATCGACATTTTTAACACAGTTGATCCCGGATATATCAAACTCCGATATATTGAATTATTGGCTATATTACACGGTTGAGATATCCCCCAGAATTTCCCATGCAAAATTATTGGGCTGGTGCACACGTATATTGAAAGCCCATTTATTCCATTTTTCCTATTCAACGCTGGCCATTTCTAGGCCCTTTTCTAACCAGTTTTCGTACCAGTTCACACCCAGATAATGAAAAGGCAACGTTATTCTAATGCACTGATCTGCATTCCTTGTGCAGTGCTTATGATGCACCGATATGTTTGATGCACAATCTACATGTTTGAATGCGCAACATGTTTTACAATGGGACTAATTGTAAAGGGCACCAAAGTGAGATTGCAAAGTAACTAGGCAGCCTCGCTTTATTGTTCGCATTTTCTTTTTTGTTACTTGATTTTTCGCACCAAAGCAGTGGCTGCCTCCTACAAAGCCACCAAGTTCCATCACTATGGCCCATTTATCAACAATGGACGGGTGGGTTGGGCTGGTGGTTGTTCTTCAGTTGTTTGTGGGCCACATTGTCGCTTGCCTCTAGTGGACTTGTGTATTTCTCGCTTCAGTAGGGGTGGAAGTGGGCGTCAGTCTTTTGGAGCAGCTTTGGGAGCAGGAATAATACGCTTTTGGAGCAGCTTTGGAGCAGTAAAAAGGGAGTTTTGAAGCAGCTCTGGAGCAACAAAAGGTGTGTTTTGGAGCCCCAAAATTTAGCTTTGGAGCAGATTTCTCGGGCTACATCTCACTGTTAATAAATTTTTTTTTCTGGTAAACACAAAACATTTCTGTGGTTTTTACTAAGCATGCAATGCTGACCACCGGACCAGGCTTACCTGAAACTCATATATATTTAACCCCACAACATCAAAAGTGACAGCGCAGCAACTCAAAGAAAAAACATAAGTGGGGTTTTCGACAGCTACTAGACCTCGAACAAATTAAATAATAATGTCAAAATTTGGCAATGTTCAAAATAGGATGAATACACCGCATCCAACATAAACAGCAACTCAAGACTATAGATTAGCTACTATATTATCAAAGTTATCTTCATACTAAACCCCCAGCGCTCTATAAAAATAAATGTAGAAAACTTATATTCCGGTCATTCAAGTGCGAGAACGGCGAGGAAATTTAGATGTGCTCGCCGCTCCATCTTTAGGCAATTAGGTGAAATTTTTTTATTAGAATAGGAATTATACACACTCGACGGGCTTTCGCCGTTGTTGCCATGTTCGGCATGAACTACAAGTTGGAAACATTCCCCGCACATCATACGTTCTACCCGCGCGTTAAATTTCACAAGCTGGGGTGATGAGTGCTGCTCAAGCAGAGATTAAACGAGACGGCTGATCTCCATCGCTTGGTGTTCGCACGTGTTAGCATCCTACCGCGTGTTAGAACTGCCGTCAAATAAAATGCTCAAGCAGAGAGGAGACACGCCGCCCGTATTGTCTATATTTGTTTCTTTCTGTGTGTGCTTATTCTTTCGGCGCGACGTTGAGTATTTAATCAAGACATGCACCAACTAGCCCAACAGCGAGTCCTACTAAACATTGTAAAGCTTGAAAGAATTCAAAGATCCGTTGTCCAATTTACCTGTAACAACTACAAAGGCACCGATTGTGTCACTGATATGACAAAACATATTGGTCTAGTTATACTTAAAGCTAGGCGTGCTGAAAGCAGATTAAAATACTTGTATTTGACATACAAAAATTTAATACAAATTAACAATCATCATTATATTAAGAACCACACAGTGCGCACAAGTAATCATCTTCATAATGGGAAAATGATACAGGAATACAGCAGTTCAGATGATACATTTCAGTATTCTTTTTTTCAAGAACCATAAGCACCTGGAACAAACTACCCGGAGAATTTGTGAATAGTCCCAATGTAGAAGTTTTTATAACAAAATTGAAAGAAATACTTGCATAAAAATGTCCTAACATGATTGCATTTGCATTGCACTGTTGAATGAGTTGATCTTTTGTTTACTGATGTGTAATTCCTTGATGCATTCTTTTGATGTAATTTTATTTGTGTTGACTCCTGCTTGGAGTCACATGACTCTGCAGTTTTGTTAAATAAATAAATAAAATAGTACTTCAATGAAAACGAACTGGTGAAGCCAAGGAATGTAGAATGGGCTTGAATTGTACAGCTTTCCCTGTATTGCAATCATCGAGATCCAAATCTAAAAACAGTGAACTGGATGATAGAATAAATTTATTTTAAAATTTGTCTGGCTGTGTTCTATGAAAGAAAAACATTTTAATGGTGTTTTCGTACATTATACTTTTTTCATGCATATATCACAAATACTAAAACACAGTTAAAACAGTATAACTTACGTCATATCTTCCATGGCTTACCATCCGTTAGTTTTCATTATTGTTGTATAAACGAAAGAAATCTTATATATGTTAGTTGACTACATACGTACCATCTCGTATTTAGGCTGCTGCGGTTATTTTGTAGCATGGAGAATGCACTATCGAAAGGCGTGTACACAGATTTCGAGTTTGTGTTGTACGGTAATGTATTTTGTGACGATGGAAATGCACGGCAGCCAGTAGAGGCTACTAGGATTTATGGCAAATATATTTTATGGGAAACAGCTCAATCCTGTCTCTTAGGACAAATGTAGCCAGTCTGATTCCCTGTCCTGTTTTCTTTCATTTTTTTTCCTCGTTCTCAGTTCCACAACAAACATTTCGTTATGCAATAGTAGTTCGCCAAGAACAGGACGATTACGTCTGCTGGCATCCTTATCAAAACGCCGAAAATTAAGACGTCGAATTGAAGGCCGAACGTCACAACAACAAAAAAAATGTAATGCCAAAAACTTAAGATGACGAAAATTTAAAATACCAAAAATCAATACACTGAAATGTTAAAATCCCGAAACATGAACACATCACTTAGCTATGGTAGAAGATAAAGGATATTGGCAACATAACAGTTCCGTCATGCTCTCTTTCAATACTCATATTCTCTTGGCAATTAATCTTTGTAGAAGTGATGAGACATCAGTTGTCCAAATAGTTTGGCAGCTGCCCTCCCAGTCTGGACATTATGGATATTCTAAGTTTCCTGCGAGGCATTGCACGCAATTTATGTGTATGAAATTGAATCAACAAGAAAATATATTTTTCTTGTTTTCGAAGGCTTGACTCATATGGGAAGGGAATTCATGACTATTAGAAAACAGGGCTAAAGCGAGCACGAAAGCGAGCAGGCGAGTGGATGCTCAATCACCGCTAAACACTATCTTTTACTATAGCAAGGTCCTGGTATTTTGGCCGTTTTGATCTTTTGGCGTTTCGATTTTTCACCACTTGATATTTTTGGCATTTATATTTTTTGACATATCAATTTATTCTCCTTCTGACATTCGACCTTGTAATAATTGGTCCTCTTGTTTTTCGGCGTTTTGATTGCCACCCTCTCTGCTATCACCTATTCCCTATTTCCCACAAGGCTGAGTATGCACTGCCCCTTCACCACAACACAGGAAAAAAAAGGAGCCTCCAATCAGGCAGATCTTAAAACGCATCGTGTGCCACGACACCCGCAAATACACGTGCTTTACACGTGCAGAACACCTGCAGGGCATGACCACACCAACTTATTTTCGAGGCAGCTGGAATAGGGCAGCTGAGGAGTCAACGTTCGAGAAAATATTGTGGCAGTGCCTCCTGCGCCGCGCGGCGCAGCAGCCAGCCCCAAACAGAAGTGGCTCCTGCGCCGCACGGAAGTGACGTCACTTCAAAAATTATTACCTAAAGCTAGTTAAATGTGTGAATTATTCGTATGTAATGCATTAAATTTACAAAAATTTTACTAAGCAGGTGTTTAACGAGTCAATTAGCCAAGGTTTGTTACTTAAATACATAATACAAGTATATTAAATAGAGGGGGCACCATGGGCGCTGCGGCTGCGAAAGGTAAACACTGCGAGATGGTAGCCGCATGCGATGTGTTAGGTGGTGAAAACTCCGATGAAATCGTGGCCATGGCCTAGGCCACTCCCAAGGAGGACTGGAGTGTCGTCGCTGCTTCATGTGATTGCTGGATGCTTAGTTGAACTTGGTGGTTGGAGCTAGCGCGGCCGTCCACCGCGCCACAGCTTCATCTGAGTGTGTGCGCCACAAAGTTTCTCAGTATGATGTGCGGATTACAGTTGTTAGACGTACTGCATTTTCTAGATTGCAAT